GCATTTATACTAAGCCTTGTTCAGAAGGCAGCAAGACAACTCACAAACTGCAGCCACCCCTAGCCTGGGGATGAAAGGGTATCCGAGGGGGTTAAAGCCCAGGATCTAGAATGGCACAGTTGTGTCTGGTTCCCCCCAGCATCAGCACTGTTCTCATGTGTGCCCCAACACCCGCTCCCTCTGTCTTACTGGCCCGAGAAATCCCAGCCCCAGGTGTGGACCATGAGGTGTGGGTAAGGGACACACACAGAGCCCAAGCCTGCTGCAGGTCCCACTCTAAAGGGTTGCCCACCCATCTCCAGGGCCCTAGGTGCTGTCCTACAATCCTCACACTTCCCTGGTCCACTGCCCCCTCCTCCATCGCCAGCACCTCCTCTGCCCACCTCCCAGTTCTCACCTGACACCTTGCTGAATGGGCCTGCACGACACGCCCCCACCCCACCCACAGTGATCATTGTCCCTCACTGCTTGATCTTCCAAACACACTAACATTTCCCATCTTAAAAAGACCCTCCTCCGACACCAAATCTTTCTCCAGCTACCAATGCATTTCTCCTGCCTTTTGCAATGATCTGACCCTCTTGTTAACATCCTCTCCTCCCATTCACGCCTCCACCAGCCCCTCCACCAACGGTAGCTCACCAAGGCCCACAGCCTCCACCTGGCCAAACCCAACAACTACTTCTCATCTCCACACCTGCCAACCATTCAGTCATCCTCCCTGTCACTTAGCTTCTGGAACATCCTCTCTTTGAGCTTTATTCTGACCTCACTGGCTGCCTTTCTCTTGCTGATTCCTCTTGCCCTCTCAGTGCTGCGGAAGAGGCCAGCTCCCAAGCCCTTCTCTACTACCTAAACTCACACCCAGGTGATTCCATCCTGCCTCAACCACCACCTATCTGCTCAGGATGACTTTCAAATTTACATCCACCAGTCAGTCCCCTGCCCTAACTCCCGAGTCAATATCCCACAGCACATGTAACTTCCACCTGGTTATCTAAGACACCTTGAACATAACACGTTCAAACCCCAACTCCTGGTCCCCACACTGCCCCCGCAGCCTGCCTTGCATCAAGAAACAGCAGCTCCACCTCCTTCCGGGCCTCAAGCTGATAGCCTTGGCCTTCAGCCTTAACTCTTCTCCCTCACACCCCATCGCCACTCCTTCAGCCGATCCTGCTACTTCTTCCTTCAAAACACACTTAGACACCAACCACATCTCCCCACCTCCATCAGCTCTCGCCTGGATGATTCCCTACTTCCCCCCCACACACACACACCTTCTCTACACAGCAGAGTGATCCTTTCATCTTTTAACATCTGAACCAGATTATGAAACACCTCCATTCAAACTCTCCAACAAATCAAAAAGGTACCACCAACATATTTTTGGCCAGGACATGGAACACGTCTGGTAGGATTATAAAGCCTCAGCCACTTCGAAGAACCAGTTGGCAGTTTTTACAAAGTTAAGCATCATCTGTCCTATGACCCAGCAAGTCCGCCCGTCTAGGTATTTATTTGCCCAATAAAAATATATCTACAAAAAGAATTAGACAAGAACATTGTGGCAGCCTTATTAAGAATAGCCAAAACTGGGAAAAACCCAAATATCTACCAACAGAAAAGAATGGGTGAATCAAAAATACAGTATACTCATACAATGGAACAGTACTCAGCAATGAAAGAATGGTGTAATGATCCACGCAGCAACAGGGGTGAATCTCCAAAACATTCTCTTAGTCTGGGCACAGTGGCTCACGCCTGTAATCCCAGCACTCTGGGGGCTAAGGCAGGAGGATTGCTTGAGGTCAGGAGTTCAAGACCAGCCTGATCAAGATTGAGACCCCATCCCTATTAAAAATAGAAAAAATTAGCCCAATGTGGTGCTGCGTGGCTGTAGTCCCAGCTACTCGGGAGGCTGAGGCAGGAAGATCACTTGAGCCCAGGAGTTTGAGGTTGTCGTGAGCTACAATGACACCACTGCACCCTAGCCAGAGCAATAGAGCAAGACTGTCTTGGGAGAAAGAACAAAACAAAACAAAACACATTCTGTTGAAAAGGAGTCAGAGACCAAAAAATGACATACTAGATATTCCATTTATACAAAGTCTCAGAACAGGTAGGACTAATCTACGGTGTAGAAGTTAGCAGGCTCTTTGGCAGGGTCTACCTACTGGCCAATGGTACCTCACCGCCTCGCACCACGATACAGCCCCTGCCCAGCTTGCAAGGATAGGCTTTTGCCCCATGTCACTTCCGGTCTGGATGGGCCAAAACGGCCAGAGGCTGACCTTAAAGGAGAAGCCTGGAGCTGCTGCAGCACTCATGAGGCCTGGTGCGGCTCCCTAAGGAAGCCCCTCAAAGCAGAAGGATTGGAGTTTCCCACTGTGTTTCAGGACCAGAATCACAACCCCCTCTAGAACAGAGAACAAGCGGGACAGTCCAAGCAATCTTTCTTAAACTGATTTGAGAGTGGCTGGCTGACAAGAGTTCTTGCTTCTAGGAGGTAGGTACTCCCAGGTGATTCCCAGTGGGGAGGAGGCAATCGAAATCGCTCAGAAGCTTTTCAAATTCTACCTGCATGCCCACGCCCCATCCCACAATAAAATAATAAAATTAATATTTTTCCCTATAACGCATAGCTCACATCTCCAAGATAGGAAAAAGATCGCAAAGGCTCAGGATAAAGTCCACCTGCATCTTCGGTGCCCTCTGTTTTTTCTAACAGCTTTACTGAGGCATAATACACCATACAATTCACATACTTGAAGAGTTCAACGGTTTTTAGTACATTCATGGTGTTGTGCAGCCATCACCAATCAATTTTAGATTATTTTCATCATCCCCAAAAGAAACCCTGTAATCTCTCCATCACCCCCAAAACCCCCATACCTAGGCAACCACTAATCTACTTTGCGTCTACACACGTTTGCCTATTCTGGACAGTTCACGTAAATGGAACCATGTGGTCTTTTGTGCCTGGTTTCTCTCATTCGGCATGTGTTCAAGGTTCACTGACATTGTAGCATATATCAGGACTTCATTCCTTTTACGGCTGAATAGTACTCCATTGTGTGGTGACAAATTCTCTCCGTGCATTCTCTAGAAGGTGAGATAACGCTAGTCTATACTCGTTTTTAAGAATCTAAAACAAATGCTTCCTTTTTTTTTTTTTTGGACACAGAGTCTCACTGTGTTGCCCGGGCTAGAGTGCCGTGGCGTCATCCTAGCTCACAGCAACCTCAAACTCCTGGGCTCAAGCGATCCTCCTGCCTCAGCCTCCCGAGTAGCTGGGACTACAGGCATGCGCCACCATGCCCGGCTAATCTTTTCTATGTATTTTTAGTTGTCCGATTAATTTCTTTCTAATTTCAGTAGAGACGGGGTCTCGCTCTTGCTCAGGCTGGTCTCGAACTCCTGAGCTCAAACAATCCGCCCGCCTCGGCCTCCCAGAGAGCTAGGATTACAGGCGTGAGCCGCCGCGCCCGGCCTAACAAATGCTTCTTTAAGGTCATAATTTTTATTTTAAAGCAAGTTGAAATATCTAAAATCAAAATATGAACTAAAGCTTTCAGACACTCCAAAAACCAACGTGACATTAGGATCAGTGGGCAGCAGACTCTGCTGAGAGGTCAATCGGGAACGAGTCGTTACAGCTGATCAGCGGATAATGGAGTAGCTGGAACACGCACCAGGTCAGGAAGGAGCCCCCCTGCCCCACCCCGTGGGAGAGGGTGTCACCCCAAACCGGTCTCCGCCCCATCCTTACCTACATCCATCCACTCTGGAGGGAGCAACCGACATTTCTGTCTTTGTTTCAGGTTAATCGCCAACCACAGAGGCACCTCCACCGGCAAACCAGGGTTAAAGGGCCCCAGGTCCCCCTGCCAAAGGTGAAACAATTCCCGGTAAGGCAGAAAACAAAATAAAAACCGAAAAGCATCACGGTACCTCACTGCTATCGGACAAGAACCACGGCAGTGCATAACTTGAAGTCCAACTAAACAAATACCCAGCTGTCACTGCAGACCCGCGGGAAGGCGCCTCCCAAACCCCTGCGGTCACGTGGGCGCAGTCCTCCCGACACCCCCGGCCCTGCGCCACCGGGCCCTCCCTAAAGCCTGCGGACGGCGCGCACCCCTGCGGTCACCTGCGAAGCGCTAGCCCACGGCCGGCCCGCGAAACGGAACCCTTTTTCCTTCCGTGCCCACCCACGACCTCCCTTCCAGAGCAGGCGTCGCGGGGCGCGGGCCGGAGGGGCTTCCCCACCCGAAACGCCAAGTCCCGCTCTCGGAGCCTCACTTTCCGCACCCGAAAAGCCGGGACCGAGGGGAGCAGGTCCACGGCCCGGAGCGGATGGTCTCCGCGGGAGCGGGGAGTGACTCGAGCCCCGCCACGCCCCCGAGGGACGGGACCCAGCGTCCCCGGCCCGCCGCCCTGAGCCCCCAGCCCGGGCCCCGCCTCCCCGAGAGGCCCCGACCTCTTGCCCGGGAGCCGGCTGGCCCCGCCGCCCTTACCCCGATGAGGTAGATCTTATCTAAACTGAAGTTCGGGATAATGGTAACCAGCTCCTTCTCGGCCAGAAACTCCACCTCGGCCGCATCCATGGCGGCGCAAGCTGCCGGCCCGGGACTCGCCGTCACCTCAGGCTCCTCGGCGTCCGGGAGGAAAAGCCATGGCCGCCGCTTTCCCGCCACAGTGCGAAACGCGCCCCCGCCGGAAGGCGGCCTGCGGCGGCCTATAAGAACGCGGCGCTCTCCGCAGGGAGGCGGGAGGAGGAGCCCGTGGTTGCTACGAGCCCGCGGATTGGCGCATCTGAAAGAAGCTACGCGCCGACCCCGCCCACCCCCCACCCCCACAGCGGGCCGCGCACCTGGTGCCGCGTTTTGGGTCCCTTCACCTGCCTGGGCGCCCACCCGCAAACACCTGAGTCAGGAGCTGGGGCGGGGCTCGAGGCCGCGTCTACGCCAGCTTTCCGCATCGGGCCGGGAGTAAAATGCATTTAGCCCAGCGCCGGGCTCCGGGACACGGAGTGAGCTGGCCAGACGGACGCTGGAGTTGAGGAAAGACGCTGTTTCCTCTCATTTCATTATCTTCTGCCCTCTCTCTACACATTGGTTAAAAACCTGTAAAAACGCTGATTCCTCCCCGCACCCCACCTCTTCCGACGCAAACACTTGAGGGAAGCAGCTGAGCGTTTGCACGTCGGCAAGCACCCAGGCGAGGCCCGAGCGCGCACGTGCCGATGGCCAGGTGCTCGCCGAACCCCACGCCCTCCGTGCACTGGCGCGAGCGCAACCACGGCAGCAGGTGGCAAACTCACCTGTGTCACAGACCCCAGAAGGTTCTGGGCGTCCACGTGCACACTCCCGGGGAGTTGTGATTCAGGAGTGGGGTGAGGACAGAAAGCTGAATTTTAACCAGGGCCAGAGCGATTTTGATGGGCACGTAATGGGCCAGGAAAGCTTCCTGGGAGGTGAAGCAGCTGGTCTTGGACTGGACTCAAATTTGAAACCTCCATCATTTGGCCCTGAGAAAAACCATAGGGAAGGCGTGGATTCCAGGGTTCTGTATCTCACAAAAAACCGTTCCACCCCAGCTAACTCGGAGCTCTTCTCCCGGACTCCCCCATGTAGGGTTGTTGGGGAGATAAACTAAGGGTACAATTAGGTTCTGCCCACTCACATGGAAAGATACGTCTGTTGTTTATCTGCCTTGGAAGTTGTCATTTACAGACTTGGAGATTTTACTATGTGTTACCTTCATTAGGTCATGTATTAAGACAGATACGCTCAAAGAAAATAAAAGGTCACGCTGGGTGCTATGTGACCACTTTGAACCTCAGTCTCCTCATCCTCAAAATCAGGTAGGAAGAGAAGGAGCCTGGAGTGTTCTGGTAGGGAGTGGAAGCTGTGGGCCACCTGGCCCCTCCCAAAATAGAAACTGCCTCAGGCGGCTGCAGAGGGAGTATGCCAGCTTGTCTGGGTTTTGATTGATGAGGGAATCTTTTCTTGACTGGCAAACATTTGTGCTCCAAAGCTGGCGAGGCCTCACTTCCTGATTTGTGCAGCCTGTAAAAGAGCGAAGGAAAAGAGCTGATGAGAAAGCCGAGGTTCAGAGGGGCTGCGGTGGGATGGGCAGGAGAGCCACCAGCGCCCGAGTGTCCCCATCACGGAGTCTCAGCGTCCTTATCTGTAAAGTGGGGACCATGCTGCCGCTGGCTTCACTGGACTTTGGGAGAACAAGGTGGGCTGGCGTGCACGCGGCTTCAGAGACTGCAAAACGGTGGGGCCTCAAACTTGAGTGTGCATCAGAATCACCTGGGGGGCTTGTTGACTACGCCCTTCCCTCCGTGGGAGCACGATGCGTAATAGCCCAAACGTGCAAACCGCCCAATGTCCCTCACCTGATGCTTGCGTCAATGAAATGGCGCATTTTCATTCGGCCACAATCGTAATGAAGTACCCGTACCTACCGCAACACGGATGAACCTCAGAAACGTGGTGCTAGGTGAAATAAGCCAGACCCCCAAGTCCGCCTGTCGTATGATTCCATTTCCATGAAATGTCCAAAACAGAAAGTAGATTAATGGTTGCCAGGGGCTGGGGGAGGGGGGAATGGAGAGTGATTGTTAATGGGTAAAACGGGGCTTCTCTCTGGGGTAATAGAAATGTGCTGGAACTAGATAGTGGTGACAGTTGCACAACTCTGTAAATATACCAAAACCCACCGAATTGTACATTTTAAATTTTATAGTGCGTGAGTTATGCCTCAATAAAGCTGTTTTGCAAAATGCCCCTAAGCCCCAGGCTCAGACTTTCTGACTTAGGAGTCTAGGGTACATCCGGGTATTCGGCACACTTCAGTTCCCCGGGAGGTTTTCGTAACTGAGAACTCTGGGAAGGGATTTGCCCCAATCTGCTCCAGCTCTGAGCCAATCCTAGCAGCCAGGCTGCGAGCTCCAGAGGGGCCTCTCTCAGTGGAGGAACCAGACAGTCCACAGAAAAGAAAAAAACTAAAGGGGACAGGGTGGCAGAGCTGAGGGTGCTGCTTAACATGGGGTGGTCAGCGCCCGACACCATTACTTCCTGTTCTGAAAACGCCTCCCCTAGAAGGCTAAAATGATACACGTGGTAATGAATTAGGGTTGTAGATGTTAGTTTGAACTCACGTTTAGCTTAATGTAGATACCAATGGATGCACATAGAAGTATTTTTGTTTTGTGTTTTGTGTTTTAAATCCCATTTTATTCTTAACTGACAAATAATTGTATTTATGGGGTACATGTGATGTTTTGATACAAGCATTCATTGTGGAATGATCAAATCAGGCTA